CACTATAGAACTGTGGGCGAAACCTACACATTCCTAACTATAAACTTAGATGTGTGCACTTGATTCTTTCAATGTCCACGTGCAGTTTTCAAAGTATTAACAGCACTTACCTAGATCATTCTTTAAGCTAATTTCAGATGGTGGTTCCGAATCCATTGGCACGTTAATTAACGTATAGCACACATTCTCAGCAGCCGTCATGATGTCTGGTTACTCTGGGGGGCCCCGCCTCCAACCCTCAGTACAAGATCCAAGGGTGCAGAAGATGCCAGAGAGAATCTAGAGAATGCAAACAAATCTCAGAATAGGGTTACAAGTTCACGACAAAAATCACCAACACACACCTAAAGGAGACAAACGAAAAGCACGACCAGGAGCCCAGGAGCGTTGGTCTAAAGTTCACTCGGCCTTGGCTCCTAAGGTTCTCAGGTGGCAGAGGGAGGGAGGGGAGTGTCCGTCTATCCCGGGTGCCACCAACTGGACCCACCGAGATAACGCACCCACACTTGCCAACCTCAGCAAGGTGCATCCCCGCTGCCCCGCCTCCGCGGAGGGCCACGAAGCAGTGAGAGTGGCCAGCCCCGCCCCAGATGCACGGATCCTGCCCCACATTACAGAACCATTAAAAAAAAAAAGGCACAATTGGGAACTGCTCGACCCCCGCCCCCCGTCCCCCACCCCAGACGCACGGATCCTGTTAAGTCCTGAACACGCTTCACCGCTTTCATTAGGCGGGGCTCGCTCCTAGAGTGCTCTGTACCCACAACCCCCCTTCCCCTTTGAGCAACGCAGGCCTTGGCCTCCAAGGAGGACCCCCGGGTCCCGGGAAGCGGGCGACCCCTGGCCGGCACGCAGGCCGGACCCGGCGCTTCCCAGCCGTCCGGTTCCACTTGGCCAGGCCCCGAAGCCAGCGGCCTAGTCGCGCCCCTTCCGCCTCTTCCCGCTCCAGAGGCCGGTTTCCTGCGACGCGGCCGGCCGCCCCCACGCCGCTGGGACGGGGGACTCGAGGCCTGCTACCTGGCTCCAAGGGGCAGCCGCGGGGGCACTGCGCGACCGTCCACCCCGGGCTCCGACCCGCAGGAGCGGCCGCAGCTCCGCTGAGTCCTTGGCTGACGTGGAAGGGGTGGGGAAACGGGACCGCGGCCACCTCGCACCGAGTACGGCAAGCCGGAGCGGACACGACTCGTCCGTTCTGCGTTTGCGCACTGCCGGAACGTCGTGCGCGTTTCTTTCTCTTCTTTTGTCTGGTTGATGGAGGCGGCAGCAGCAGTAGGAGTATGAACCGTGACCTGACAAGACGAGCGCTTGAATCCTTCGCTGTGGATACGTAAAAGCCAGTTCGAAAGTGGCTGCTGCTTTCAGGAACTAAAACAGCCTAGGGCGCAGGAGTGCGTGGAAATGGGGGGAAACACCTTTTACAGGACTGCGTGGTCCACTGGAAAAGAGCACTAGACCGGGACCTGGAAGCTCGTCCACTGCTAAACTAGGGAAGTAACTCATTACTATTTCCAGACGTAACGTCAGTTCTTCCAATAAGGAAGGCTAGTAATGAGACGATCCATGTTCATTTCTTAACAGTTTAAATGTCTGCATCTGCCCTTAGGCTGGAGTTGTTTTAATGCCTGGTATGGTTTCTGCTATTTATTTAGTAGCGTCCTTTTTTATGTTTCTTCCTGAGCACACAGAAGTTTGAAAACTTTTTTATACATAAAGGGAGATTGGCAGTCACATTAAGGAATTTAACATCTTCAAAGACCTTCGGTTTTGCCCATTTCATGCCCCCTCCCTCCTGCCACCCCCTCCTCCACCCCCACTTGGGGGGGTAGGATTTTTGTTTTTTTTTTTTAATGGCTTGGGCAAAATAATTGTGAATACTCTGTGAATCCTATTTTAGACAAGGGCAAAATATTGTGAATACTCTGTGAATCCTATTTTAGACAAGTGAAGATTTATTTGAGCTCTATTTTTCTGAAGATAACCTATTAATACTGTCTTTATTTATTTAAAAATAGAGCTCAAATAAATCTTCACTTGTCTAAAATTTTGGTATTTCAAATTCTTTTATGGAAAAATCGAGCAAACCGTAAATTTGGGGCAACCAAAATACATCACAAAGGCCATTATTTCAAGAATGTAATGTCAATGAGCTACATAAAGCCTTTTTTTAATTTTGGGGTCACACTTGGCTGTGCTCAGGGACTATGTGGTGTTGGGCATCATGAAAAGTGGCCTTATCTGCTATATTTCCCCTGCCTATAAAACTTTTTGAGATTGATTTCCCCTCTCCCCCCATTAAAGCATTCTTTCCTTAAGATCAATCCAAGATTGGTGCCAGTTTATCGTAGTTTTTCTTTTTCCCTCCTCAGAGGTGCTTGAGGGTAGAGAGGTCACTGTCAGCAGTACTTGGCTATGGGGTATGCATGACAGTTTGGTGTGCTATTGCTCAGGCCCAGGTATGTTGAGTGCTACAAGGCCACTCTGGCAGTGCTCAAGGACCACCAGAACTATATCAGGTATGCTGCACTGAGCTTTCAGGGCCAGTGATCCAACTCAGGACCTAACAGCATGCAAGTCATGTGCTGATCTTTTAGCTATCTCTTCCCCTCTGGAGTTGGTTTTGGTTTTTGGGCCACATCTGGTGATGCTCAGGAGTTACTCCTGGCTTTACACTCAGGAATCACTCTTGGCTGTACTCCTGGGAACATATGGGATGCCAGAGATCTACCCAAGGTTGGCTGAGTACAAGGCAAGAACCTTTGTTCTATCTCCAATCTCTAAGTTTTTTAAAAATGTTTTATAAATGCTGTTACTTAGTTCTCAACCCATTTAACAAGTGGTTTTGGCCTACCATGAATATAGAACTAATCATATCAACTACAGTTGCTCTGGAGGCAACTATATAATGTTACAGAATAAAATTTGAGGTTTATTATGAGCAAACCATTAAAAAAAGATTTTTGAAAGTTTTATAAATTCTTTAGTTTTCCTTTTATCACTGGCAAGGTAGATTCTTAAAAACAGCTCATTGAGTAGGTATCAGGACCTTAGAGAGCTTAATCCTTCCTGATTTGACAAGATGCACTTGACTTATTTTTACACTAGCATGTAATTTTGTTTTTCAGGTCACACCCACCTGTGCTCAGGGATCACTCCTGGTGGATTTGGGGCATCATGAAGTGCTGGGGATCAAACTTGGATCCACCATGTGCAAGGAACGTGCCCGACCTGCTATACTATTGCTCGGCCCCTCAAGCATTTAGTTATTTTGAAAATTGTTTGAATTATGTTGAGAGCAAGGGCCTTGACATATATTACAACATTTTAAGTATTTTGGAAATCAAGGTTTAGAGTGAAAAGGGACTTGCCCATAAAATACAAAATGGTCAAATGCTGAAAAAGCTCATATTACCAGAATCTTGCCATCTACTTTACTAATTTTTAACCATGCCAGTTCTTCAAAGTAGCACATATAGAAGAGAGGATAAAAATGGAGCAAATAACAAATTCCAGATGAAATATTTTTGTATGCTCTTGTATTTTGATAGATGTGAGGACACCAGTAGGAATTTTATTTATAATTACTCAACACAGGCCAAATGGAGTAACTATGACACATAAGTCAAAAAAAGGAACCACAATGAAATCTATAGTGTTCCATTTTATTGTGCTGGGAGATTTCTAAGATAAAGATTTCCTCTCCATTTCTACATAGCCACCGAATCTGAAGGCAGGTGGAAGGAGTACCACAAATTTATTTACTGGTTTATTGTGTGTATAAAAAAGCTGTCACTGTAGCACTGTCCTCTCTTTGTTCATCGATTTGCTCAAGCTCTACTGGGCACCAGTAACGTCTCCATTGTGAGACTTGTTACTGTTTCTGGCATATGGAATACTGCACAGGGAGCTTGCCAGGGTCTGCTGTGCAGGCAGGATACTGTCAGTAGCTTGCCAGGCTCTCCAAGAGTGATGGAGAAATCGAACCCGGGTCGGCCATGTGCAAGGCAAACAAACACCCTACCTGCTGTGCTATTGCTTCAGCCCATAAAAAAGCTAATAGGTACTTTTTGTAACTCTACTGGCCTTGTCTCAAACTCAGATGAAACTCATAAGACTACTTCCAGAGCAGACTATTACTTCACACAGTTCCAAATTTAGGATATTCAAAAGCCCATCAGTTTATCTTACCACTTTCCCTTTAATACGTAACATGTTACTACAGTTCTTAAAAGTTTTAAACAACATGTAAAAAAATTAGTGTACAGGATCTTTTCCCATGAATTCTTTCATTTAGATTTCAACTCTCCACTGGACTTTCTTAAAATATAAAATAAAATCCTTTGGATTTACTTGATCCAAACCAAAAGTAGCTACTAGGAGTAAAAGATCAAAATCCAAGCTCCTTACCTGAAAATTAATTGTTCCTCTTTAGAAAAATATAAATCTAAAAAAAAATGCATCTCTTAGGACTATTAACAGCAACTTTTTAATTAGTATTTTGTTTCATTTTAAAAATTAGACTTTTTGAAAATTTGAATTCATTATGCATAGTGTCCAGTAAAAATTGTTCTGCCGTATCTGTACACTGTTCATAGGAAAAATGCAAGGTTGCCTAAAGGTTAAAGGGGGAGTTGGGTTGGCAGGATTGAAGAAAATGACAGTTTGTAGTTAAAACCTACCTGTGATTTTGAAGTTTCTCAGGGACCAAAGTTTCCACTACTGCCATCTGCTGGCTGGAAAGTTTTTCATGTTAATATTGCCTTTACTATTGTGGCTAAGAGATTTTAATTGACATTCTCAGTACTGAGTAAGTTTGCATTAGGATTTCTCTTTCTTATTTTCTCATTCTTATTTCTCTGAACCATGAATTCATTGTTCAGAGAAATAAGAATGATATAGGGTTATGACAGCAAAGAGGTTTTACTTTTCCTCAAGACTAAACATAAGGCAAAGACCAACTGGAATATCAAGCTACTATTTACTTGTTTTTTAACAAATAAAAATCCAATAGCCATCAGGTGAAACAACTTTATTTCACAGTAGTCCTTAAAGACACAAAGACACTATGTTCTTCATATAAAAACATTAGTAGATACCTATACTTTCTAGAAATTATGATGTAGGCCCTTTTAAAGAAAAATGCACCTCATATGGTTTCAGTAAGATTGCTTGAAAAAGCTTCTCATCTGGACTCATTCCTAATTACTCTGAATCTTTTGGTTCAAAGTATGGAGTATTTTCTTCATCATGTATTCTTGCATCGCACATAGTTGTTAGTATATGTATTAACTAGTTAATGTTCCATTGGCTCATCGGCCTTTTCTGCAGGTTCGTCAGCAGGTTGGGCAGGCTTAAAAGAAAGAGACAAAAAATCATGTAAAAAGAGTATCTGACCAACATATATTATCTAAATTAAAATTGTTGCAATTAGAAAAGTTTAAAAAAGAAATTAGAAAATATTTTGATATTTATCCATTGACTTGTTAAAAAAATTTAAGCATGGTTTTTAGAGATGGAATTCTACAGTTCTGTAAACCAAAACATCATGAACAATTCTAGCACAGTCACACACTGTCTTGCTCAAAAGTCATCTTTTTTATTATTAGTACTAGTTATAAAACACAATTATATCACTTTTTAGACATTCTTTTCTCATTTATTACTGGTAAACAGTAAAAATATAATCAAACTAACTGTGTAATACTCTATTGCATTATTCTACCTGCCCTAGTCCCTTTTTTTAAAATTGAATCACCATGGGAGAGAGCATTACAAAACTGTTCATGACTGGGTTTCCGTCATATAATGTTCCAACACCCATCCCTCCACCAGTGTAATTTCCTAGCACCAATGTCCCCCAGTTTCCCTCCCCTGTCTATATCCCCCCCTCCCCAGCCTGCCTCTATGGCAGAGGCAGACCCCTCTCTCTCTCCCCTCCCTCCCTCCCTCCCTGCCTCCCTCCCTCCCTCCTTCTCATAGCTGGAAACCATCTGTCCTAGTTCTTACTGATTTAAATACAAATCTTGCTTCTCTAATACCAACAATGTTACCTAATACTCTTTTCAAGTTGAAAATTAATGACATGGCCAGAGCAATAGTATGTGGCAGGGCACGTTCCCTGCATGCGGACGACATAGGTTTTATCCCTGGCTCCCCATAAGCTCCCCCATCAGCCTACCAGGAGTGATCCCTAAGTGCAGAGGCAGAAGTCAGCCATAAAAACAGCCAGGTATAACCCAAAGACGTCCCCCCCCCCCCCACACACACACCAAAAAGAAACTAATGGTGTTGAAATTCTTTATAAGATACTAAGCATCTATAAGTAATAAAAATTTTTTCTTTTTGGGTCATACCCAGCGTTGCACAGGGGTTTCTCCTGGCTCATGCACTCAGGAATTAATCCTCGCAGTGCTCGGGGGACCATATGGGATGCTGGGAATCGAACCTGGGTCAGCTGCATGCAAGGCAAACGCCCTACCCACTGAGTTCCAGCCCCATAAGTAATTTTTATTTTAAAGATGCAATAAAAAAGACCAGTATTTAAAATACCACTTAAGTATCCAAAGCTGGGCCATAATAAACTTTTCATGTCCTTAGTCATGTAGGATCTTGGTCTTTTTATAGACTTTAACAAAATATGGAGAAGTGATACTGCAACAATTCTGAGCACTGAGCACATGCTTTACATGAGGGAGGCTGGGTTCAGTCTCTGGCACTGCATGATTCTCTGATTATTGCCAGGAGTGACCCTGGATTAGAGAGCCAGAAGTAGCACTTCAGGGCCCACTACCTCCAAGGAAATAAATTTTTAAAAATCCAAAACAATGCCTGGAAGCTTTAACTTTTCAACTTTTGCAAGCTCCAAGCTACTACCCTGCTAGAGAACCTGTGAAGAAGCCCTAAGATTGAGGAAAAAGCCCAGTCATCCCAGCAGAGGTTCCCACCTTGTCTCTGTCCCTCTAATACCTTTAAAGTCTCAGAAGGTAACCTGAATAATGTTACCTTGAATGTTTACACCTCACTCTTCAACAATTAGCAACCTCAAGGAAGATCAGCAAAAGAATCATATTGCTGTGATGAACCTCAATTCATAGAATTGTGAGAAATAACAAATGATAACCAAATCATCAACTAGTTCTGCGTTTACAGAGATCAATGTCCTCTTAATATTTTACTTACTCAGTCCCTAGTTTTCCTACTGACGCCTGAATGCTACAAGCCTATCTCAATAACTGAAGATAAAAATGTCAACTTTATATATCTGTGGTAGGAATAACAATTTATGACAGAATTTAAGCCATCGCGTTATTATTTATATACCTGTGCCTTTCTCTGAGGTCTTTCTTCGAGACCTTCCAGGAATGGAGATACATCATCATCATCATAAATCGTAAACTCCAAGTCTTTACCAACAATTCCAATAGAAACATTCTGAGCGGGACAAAAAAAAAAATTAAAGTATCAAGTATGAAGGTTGGAAAAATTCTTAAAAAGAATTTTTAAGGTGAAAAGCAGAATAAAAATTTCATAGAACATTACCTAAGACTTGAATTGGGGAAAAAGGAAGAAAAATCTAGCAGTTCCTATTGCAGATTAAATATTCACTTTTGGTAATTATCAACAACTCCAAATACTGTATCATTTAAAAACCTGCAGTTTGGCTCAGAATGAAAATGTGCTGTGGATCAGTGTGAGGAACTAAGTCACATTGATACTAAGAAACAATCATGTTTGTTCCCTGTGTAAGTTAAGACACGGTAGTTTTGTTTTCTTTTGTTTTGAATCACACACAGCAGTGGCTCTGGGTTTATTTACTCCTGGAGTTGTTTAGGGGACCATGTGGGGTACTAGGGATCAAATCCAGGTTGGACACATGCAAAGAAAAAGCCCTACTTATAGTTCTATATCGCTAGAACTAAAGATGTGAAAGTTTAACGAGGAAATTTGGAATTATAAAGTGCTGAATACTGTGGAGGATTAAAATCTACATGAAGCAACTAAAAAGCCAATCTTAAAATTGTTTATCACTGCTAATCAGTTCAAAAATAGCTTCTATAAGATGAATGTTTTTGTAAAAATTTGAGGCATACACACATAAGTATGTCATGATTCAGTATGAATATGAAATCAGGAAATCAAACATCTAAGCAAACTTTTCTAAATTGGAAATGTCAATCAATGATCAATTTAAAATTCAACCATCTTAGAAACAAATGCACCATATGCCAGGGAAATACCTCAAAGGAATAGAGCATACATTTTTAAGTTTAATTTTGTTTCTATAAAGTTGTCCACAATAATTACATTTAATATTCCAACACCAATCCCATCACCATTACACCTTCCCACCACCATATTTTGAATGTTTCCACCTCAACTCCCAGAGCCTGCCCCCCAAACAGGACCTATATATATATTTTCTATTGCTTGTTATAAATAATCTACAAAAATGATACCAAAAAGTTTCCATAGAGAAAAGTGTGTGAAGGTTGCTGTATTCCACCCTGGAGCCATTTAGCCCTTGTCTTGGTACATCAGTAGTGAAGAGTTTGAGATGTAGGAGAACACATTTTGCATGAGGGAGCTTCGGATGGGCCAACAGTTCCTGAGCACTGCTAGATGTGGACCACTCTCCACCCCAAAATAAGCAAGCATCAATTAGTTACAACCTCTGGTTACTTTAATGATATCAACAACCACAAAGACCAGAACAATGAAAGGAAGGGAAAGGAGAGAGCACAAGATAACAAAAGTGAGGTCCAGACAGGTAGTAGAGCAGATAAAGTGCTTGCCTTCCATGCAACTGACTGGGGTTTGATCCCTATCACCCTATATGGTCCCCCAACCCCTGCTAGGAGTAATCCCTGAAAACAGTATCAGGAATAAGACCTGAATACAACCAGGTGTGCACCTTCCCATCAAGAAGAAAATGTCACTGTGATTTTGATTGGAATTGCATTAAATGTGAATACTGCTTTGATAGAATAGGCATTTTGACTATGCTGATTATGTACATGAAATCTTTCCCTGCCTTGATCTCTTGTTCTTAGTCTTTAAATAGTATCATAGTTTTCATTATAAAACTCTCACAATTCCTTTGTTAAAATTTATTTCTAGGTATTTAAATTTATTTCTTTGAATGCAATTACAAATTATTTGCAAATAGAAATGCAACAGCATTTTTTTTATTACTTTTGTAACCAGCTATCTTGGCACACCTGTTTCGAGCTTCTTTTTTTAGTTTTCTACCACACCTGGAGGTGCTCAATGGTTATTCTCAGCTTTGCCCTCAGAAATTACTTCTGGCAGGGTTTCAGGCACTATGTGAGATGTCGGAGATCAAAACTGGGTTAGCCCTGTGCAAGGCAAAAACTCTACCTGCTGTATATCACTCCAGCCCTCAAACTCCTTTTCAATAGAATAGAATCTTTAGATGTTTCTATATACACTATTGAATTGCCTAAAAATAACGATAGTTTCTTCACTTTATTTCTGGATTCCTTTTATTTCGTATTATTGTCTAATTGCTCTGGGTAAGAACTTTTGTAATAAATCAGGAGTGATGACAATAGTCTTACCATATTCCTGATTTTAGAGAAAAAGGCTTCTGTTTTTCATTACTGAATATATCAGCTGTGGTTTTATGTATACAACCTTTATTATACTATAATGTCATTTCTATTATAAATTTAAAATTTTTTTATTATAAATAACGCTAAAACTTGTGAAATACTTTTCTCAACTGAACTACTTACCTCCAACTCATTCTATTCTACCACACTATTCCACCTGAAATCACCCTAACAGCTTTACAACTATTCCACCATGCCGCAGTAAAAAAATTACTTAAGTCAATCATAGTATTCTTCATTTAAACTTTTTTTTTATGACACCCCCCCCCCATCCTCACTTAAACTCTTAACAGCCCAGAGTAAAATCAGAATTACAAACAAGGGCGACTGGTTACTAGAAGACAAAGTGTAGCCTCCATTACTCTGGCTTCATTCTTAAATCCATTGGTTTCTTTGCCTTGAATATTACAATCTATACTCAAGATTTTTTATATATATTCTATGGAATCATATATTTTGGGGGTAGGAGGCTCACACCTGGCTATGCTCAGGGATCAAACCTGGGTCAGCCTGGGGCGTCAGTTGTGTGCAAGGCAATACAACCCTACCCGTTGTATTAGCTCTCGAACCCCTCTCTGGAATTATTTCTTCTTTTTCCTCTGGAATAATCTTGTTCTAGACATCTATATGGCTTATTTACTTCCTTTAGATCTTTTCACTGAATTTTACTCTCAATGAGGCCATCTTTGACATAGTCAATTAGTCACTCTCCTCTTAACCATTTTTTATAGTAATTATCACTTTATAATATATACTTCATTTATAGGTATACTAGCTCCTGACACTTGGATATATGTTACAAATAGGTCAGGATGTTTGTCTTGTCTATTATATGCACACATGTATGAGATGCTCAATCACTCACTTGTTAACTGAATAATTATTGTTAACAATTAAAAAATATTGTTAACAATACAAAGGTTTCCCTGGATGAACAACAGTACGTGTGGGTAGGGCACAGGCCTTTTATGCAGTCAACTAGGATTTAATCCCCAGCATCCCATGTGGTCCCCCAGCCCACTAGGAGTAATTCTGGAGTACAGAGCCAGGAGAAACCCCTGAGCACTGCTGGTTATGGCCTAACACTGCCCTCTTCCACCCCTACCCCTCAAAAAGAAACAATACAAAGACACAAAGGTTTCCCATCTGTTGAAGAAATGAAAATTCTACATTGGATTTACTAGTTTAGTGTTTTATACCAAATATGTTTTTTAAAAATGACATCTCAAAATCATACCACTTATTGCTTAATGAGAAAGACTGAGTCTATGCAACCATTCCACAAATTAAAGAGTAGGACAAGGAACTCAGAGGCAAAATCTGTGATATGAAGGTAGGAAGCCCTGGGTATGATGCCTGGTACCATTAAAAATACCTGAAAATTAAAGAACTGTAAGTACACATTACTTATCACTTACATTTATGCAACACTTGATCAAATTGTAACTATAGTGTTTATAACTGCAAAACATACTTACTTTTGTAGTTAGGTCCTGTTCTGCGGGAAGAGTCTCTCTCAAAGCACGTAGACCATGTTTAACCAGCTCATTCAAATTGCCTACATAAAACGAAATAATACTTTTTCTTAATTTAAGAAATAGAGATTTTGGGGCTAGAGCGGTAGTACAGCATGTAGGGTGTTTTCCTTGCACGCGGCCGACTCAGGTTTGATTCTAAGCACCCCATATGGTCCCCCAAACACCGCCAGGAATAACTCCTGAGTGCAAAGCCAGGAGTAACCCCTGTGCATCTTGGATGTGACCCAAAAAGCAGGAAAAAAAAAAATAAGAGATTCCTTTAGCAACTTAATCTGACAAGGTTCTAGTCACCTACCAAGTATATTATAGTAGAAACAGTCCAAAGTGTAATATTTAACCATTTAATCTCCCAACATTAATTATTAGCAATATTGACAATTATATTTCATGAAAGGATATACAACTTGTTACTAAATTTGGCCCGTTCTTATTAAAGTCTAACTCTTAATTCAGAAATGATATAGCTTTCAATGTTCTGTAGAATATACTGTGAAATGTTAGTTGCTATATTTGCTCTTGATAAAAGTAGTTTCCAACTCTTTGTATCTGACTAAAATTCCAAAGTGGGCAAAGACACACAAATGAAAGTGTAAATCAAAGTCCCTAAAGGGGGCAGGAGCAACAGTGGAGTGGGTAGAGCACTTGGCTTGAACATAGTCATCCTGCACCCAATAAGGCCACCGGAGTACCACCAGGAGTAATCCCTGAGTGCAGAGGCAGGAGTAAATCCTATGCACTGCCTGGCCCTGCCTACCCCCCCCCCCCCCAAAAAAAAATTCCTTAAGAATACAGATACACTACGGGCCTGGGAATTGCTCAGTGGCAGAGTTTGCCTTGTAGGGAAGAAGCTCAAGTTTCCTCTCTGACACAAACCCACATACTGAGTCAGCAGCACATTCACCTGGGATTCTTGGCACCAAAGTAAAGCTCCAGTGTACTACAACCAAATGTGAGTAAACACTAAAACTAAAGTGTGGCACTCAGCCAGCACTAGAAAATAAGTATACAACCCCTAGTGAGCACTACAGACAAAGTGTACTAAAATGTACAACCCCTCGCCCGCTCCTCTCTGGAAAGAAAGATGGCGGCCGCACGGGAGCCTTGTGGAAAGCAGGTTTGAGCCGGGCTTGGGGGAGCGGCGGGGACCTCATGGGAAGGGGGGCTTTGTGGGCCGCCCCCCACGCCCCACCGAGGTCGCCAGCTGCCCCCCACGAGCGGCTCTCCGGCACGGCCACGGCCCCCGGAGGCACAAGGACTTAGCACAGAGAACCAGCCGCTTGGAGCAGAAAAGCAAATGGACTTGTGTTAAAACGCGCCACCAAGCCTGCCCGGAGGGGAAGGGGCTTTGACCGGTCCGCCCGCTCCTCTCTGGAAAGAAAGATGGCGGCCGCACGGGAGCCTTGTGGAAAGCAGGTTTGAGCCGGGCTTGGGGGAGCGGCGGGGACCTCATGGGAAGGGGGGCTTTGTGGGCCGTCCCCCACGCCCCACCGAGGTCGCCAGCTGCCCCCCACGAGCGGCTCTCCGGCACGGCCACGACTCCAGGGCACAGAAACCAATCTCTTAACTAGCTAACTTTTAATAGAAATTCTTCCAGGGTCAATAAGTAAAATAGCAGAAATTCAAAACCGCACGGCCGCGATAGCGGCCGTGCGACCTCATTGTATTCTTAAACCAAGTTGTAGAAAGCAAATCATTTCACAACGCTGTTTCAGCATGTCTGATTGTGGGGGGTGGGTCGTAAACTCTAAACAATAATTGTGCATCTTCTATCGAAATAATCTATCTAGTCAAAGTATATAGAGTATTAACTAGAACTCATCTGCCTCACAAGAATTGGGAGGGGTGGGAGGTGGGGGTCTATTGGGGTTCGGGGCTAAAAATGAGTATTGGTAAAGGGAAATGTGTTTGGTATCTACATGACTGAGAACTAAACCCGAAAGCTCTGTAACTTTTCCCACAGTGATTCAATAAATAAATAAATTATTAAAAAAAAAAAGTACAACCCCTGATCATCAAAACAACAAAAGGAGGACAATAGAGGACAGGGGTGAGGCCTCTCAAACAGTCGTCAGGAAGGTCTAGTGATGATTCACAGCCAACCAGGTTGGTGGTTAAGTCCAAAGGCCCAGTATGCAAGCTGCTTTGGCCCTGCAGTGCCAAGGATAGCTGGACCAACCAGAGCCACGCGTGGCTGTGTTTAGGGGCTTCCTGGCCTGTACCCAGTAATGCTCAGAGGACCAAGTAGTGCTTAGAATCAACCCTCTAGACAAATACCCTAATCACTACACTATCTACCAGCCCCAGGAAAATGTTTTAGTTGAAAGATACAGACAAAAAAACTCAACAAATTATTAGCAAACTGAATCCAATAACATTTATGTTTTTAAAGACATTTATATTATTTTATTATTACCATAACTAATTTATTCCAGGGATTTAACATACAAAAGTCAACCAATACATATCAAAATAATACGAACAGGAAAAAAACCCAATGGTTATTTTAATTGATGTACCAGAAGTATAACACCCAAGGCTTTTGCATAAGCACAGTACTCGAAAATCTGGCCTGTTCTAGCAGTAAGTCTTGTTATCTTTAACGTTTCTTCCCACATATAAACTACCTTTTAAATTATTTATGGAGTACTTATTGCAGAAATGACTGTGTGACTAAAAATAAATTCAGGAAGAACTAGATATTACAAACCTTACAATTGGTAGCTAGTATAGTGGTCCTCAACTCTAGGAATACTGAATTAGTCTGACTAAATTCAAAGGCTGGGAATATATATTTATATTTTTAAGACGTCCTAATTACTACTTTGCCAGCCAGAAGGGGTTAAAAACTACTATGCTTGAAAGAAATAATAAGCACATCATGAGGATAATTTTGTGAAAAATACTTTCTGTAAGGCAACAGTTTTCTTCACTTATGTATTTATTTTCTATAATTTTTTTTTAAAATCACTTACAGTCCATAAACTCAGACATGTGTCTCTCCAAGTAAGTACGAGCTGACTGAGAACGGGCTCCAATGGACATAGCTCTACAATCAAAATAGTTAGCAGATGGACAGGTCTGGAAAATGTGAGGACCCATATCCTACAAATAGAAAAAAAAATAAAAAAAAGAAGTTACGTAATTCTTGACTTTGGGTAAGCTAAAAATGAGAAAGTTTCTAGTCAGTTTTGAAAAATCATTAAAATATGATAAAATTCTATGAACTTACATCATAACCAGCAATAAGCAGCCCAACACCATATGGTCTCCGGCCATATCGCTGTGTTGGTATCTGGGTCTCTTAAACTAGTTAAAGAATCTGTTACAACACCAAATAGTTACTACCTTTACTTTTTTTTTTTTTTTTAGCTTTTTGGATCACACCCGGCGATGCACAGGGCTTACTCCTGGCTCTGCACTCAGGAATTACTCCTGGCGGTACTCAGGGGACCATATGGGATGCTGGGAATGGAACCTGGGTCGGCCGCAAGCAAGGTGAATGCCCTACCCTCTGTGCTATTACTCCAGCTCCTTACCTTTACTTTCAAGTTAAATATTATTAACAAAGATCTTTGGTTCGTCTTACCTGCTTGGGGAGGTGTGAGGGGGTGGGAGAGTAATAGCAAGATGACAAGTTCCCATGCATAGACCCTTATTAATTCTGAATATAAAGGGTCGAGGATTTTCTTGACATCTAGAACCACTAATGGAAAACTTTAAATATCCTTGAACAGCGGTAGGGCGTTCGCCTCGCCTTACAAGTGGCCAACATGGCTGACCCGAGTTCGATTCCTCCGCCCCTCTCGGAGAGCCTGGCAAGCTACCAAGAGTATTCAATATGCCAAACACAGTAACAACAAAGTCTCCAATGGAGACGTTACTGGGCCTGCTCGAGCAAATCGACGATCAACAGGAGGGCCTTTACCTTTACCTTTAAATATCCTTGAAAATTGGGGCAGGAGTGATAGTACAGCAGGTAGGGCATTTGCCTTGTACACAGCTGACCCAAGTTCGATCCCCGGGATCCCATAGGTCCCCCCCGAGCAACACCAGGAGTAATTCCTGAGTGCAGAGTCATGAGTTTCCCGAGCATCCCAAAAAAACAAATTAATAAATTTATCTTGAAAATTAGAGTATGGAGAGTTTTCCTGAAATTGGATTCATCTATGTGTGGAAAATAACAATTGTTTACAAGGGCTGATGAAAGAGAAGTTCACTTACTTTCAAGGTAAAATTTCCCACAAGTATGCTACATTTTAAATTCTTATTAAAAAGTTTTACTATCTTGAAGCTGGAGCAATAGTACAGCAAGTAGGATGCTTGCCCTGCATGTGGCTGACCCGGGTTTGATCACTAGCACCCCATATGGGCCCCTATTGCCTGGCCAGGAGTGATTCCTGAGCACAGAGCCAAGAGTAAGCTCTGAACACTGCTGGATATGGATTAAATAACAATTTTTTTCACTGTATTACCTATGGTTAATATTTAATCATAGTCTTAATAATTAAGGATGAACTATAAAAGCCCTTTAAGGTTTATATCCATAAATGCTGAAAAAAAAGGATACTGCTTCCAATTAGAGACACAAGACGAGACACAGGAAGAGGTCTGTCAAAAACGAATCTGGAATCCAAACATTCCTGACGCATAAAATTACTAAAAAAGAAACAAGAAAAATGTTAAATCAGAGGAGTATTTCAAATAACATAGTCTGAGTTCTTTTTAATTCTTTCCAGACATTTGCACAGATTACTTTCACATAAGGGAACCAGACAGAGCTACAAAGGTACATTTCTATAATAAATCTTGGAGTATATGGGGTTTGTTAAAGACCAGACAATTCCTTAGCAATGAAAAACCTTTGCCTTACCACACTTCTTACAGTACAGACAGTTAAAGAGCAAGGGGGGGGGGGGGGGTGGGAAACATCTTTTATTCTTCCCACTGTGAGCAAGTTAGTCTTAACTCTAGATCTTGAACCATCAAAAAGGAATACCTACTCAACCTTTTTCTTCAGTCTAAAAAATTTGCAATTACACAGCTGCAAGAAATAGAATCCATACTAGACATTCGTATTTCTGTCCATGTACTTCTACATATAAACAGTCTTTGAAAAGCTAATGAACAATAGATTGCTGATTAACAGTTAAAACTGACAAGATTCAGTAAATCCACTTAGGAAGAAAAAAGAAAAGAAAAAGAGAATTCCTGCCTCATTTTAAAAGCCAAGATAACAAGGGCTTACTGCTTTATTTCCATGTTTCTCTGTTTTATGTGTATGTCATATCTGATAACCAAATGTTGACTATAGATATCAAGCTATTTGTTCAGGTATGTTCACTTAAGTCCATTTCCTAAGATTGTCTAAAAGTTCATTGCTCAATATAACAGGTACTACTAACTTGTGACCATTAGAAATGTGAGAGGCTGGAGAAACAGCACAGTGGGTACAAAACTTGCCTTGCATGTGGCAGATCCAGGTTTGATCCCTGGCAGTCATATGGTCCCCAAGCCCTATCAGAATGATCCCTAAGCTCAGAGCCAGAAGTAAGCTAGAAGGAGTACCAGGTGTGGAACACACACACACACACACACACACACACACACACACACACACACACGAACACACGAAATATGGCTAGTCTGGTATGAATCACAAATGCAAGATACAAAAGAAACTTCAGAGACAGTACAAAAAAATGAGAAATTTCATCATAAGACTTAGTCTTTGCAATGAGATTTTTATCTCACTGCAACTTATGTATGTGTGTATGTGAATGTTTTGGGGCCATACCCACTGGTGTTCAGGGCTTACTGCTGGCTCTGTGCTCAAAGATCACTCCTGACTAGGCTCGGGGGACCATATAGGGCATCAGGGATCTAACCTGCCTTGGCCACATACAAGGCAAATACCAAACCTGTTACTATCGCTCAAGCACCAAACTTAATAGAGTCTTAAACAACATAAATTAGACTAACAAATATCAAATAATTCAGCAACTACACAAAAGTATTGAAACTAATATAGTTAGGGGGCTGGAGCAATAGTACAGCAGGTAGGGCATTTGCCTTGCATGTGATCAACCTCGATTTTATCCCCAAAACTCCTCATGGTCCCTTAAGCCTGGAGTGAGATCCCTGAGTGCAGAGCCAGAATTAAGTTCTCAGAACCACAGGGGTATGGGACAGAAACCTTTCTGCCAAAAAATCCAACCAAACAACAACAACAAAAAATCCTAATATAGTTAATTCTATTAGAATAAAAAAATTAAATAATTAGTAACTGAATTCAAAGTGGCTACAGTATTAATAATCTTAACTTACAGACACTCTGGCAAACAGTTTCCCAAATTATCTTCTCTAGATCTATAAATGTAATTTATTATAAATTAGTAATGATGTTTCTTTTGTTTTCTACGATCACACTTACCATAACAGTCTAGCATCTGCAGTAAGGCCCGCAATAGAGATACCAATATGGTTGTCAACATGGAGAATCTTTTTCTGATGAGCTGCAAGCTCTGACTGTGCTCTCTAAATAGAAACATTGAAAGATATAAATGTAAAAACAAGTTTATAATTTTATTATATAAATTAGAGATTCCCAAGCTTATCTGACTTATTATCACCTTTTTGGGGAAAGAAAAACCACCTAGTACCCCATGGAAATATACTTTTTTCAAAGTAGAGTACCCCCAATCCACAATTTGCAATGGAGAGTATTATTGCCTCTGATTCATTCAAGGCCCACCCAGAGGGTGGTACGCATTTGATAACTGTTTTCTAAAGACGGAAGACAGAGCTATGGATGCAGCTCAATGGTAGAGTATTATGTTTCGTATATGATATCTTGGGTTGGATCCCTAGTACCACAAGTACATACACATATGCAGAGGACACAGGGGATCGGCTCAGTGGGAAAACTGCCTTGTTCTAACACAGGCAGAGTTTGATCTTCTGCGCCACGTTCATGTGCAGAGCACAGCCTCAGTAGCTCTATTTCCTGCGACTCCTGGAACCACAACAATGATGTGTGCCATCTCCAGCACACAGCCAGAAGACTGTATTATAGCCAGGAGTTCAAAGCCTAGGAACAACACAGTGGGCACTGCAGTGACTCTCTGTGAACAAGTAGCACTGTCGCAATGCCTTGTATCTCCCGTTGTTCGTCTATTTGCTCAAGTGGGCACCAATAATGTCTCCATTGTGAGACTTGTTACTGTTTTTGGCATATCGAATTCGCCACGAGGAACTTGCCAGGCTTTGCCATTCGGGAGGGATACTCTTGGTAGCTTGCTGGGCTCTCCAAAAGAGACGGAGGTATCAAACACGGTCGGCTGCGTGCAAGGTAAATGCCCTACCCGCTGTGCTATCGCTCCAGCTCTTATGTGACAAGTACTACGACTAAATGAGTTGACTCTCACTGCGAGAACAGTAACAAAGGAAAGGGAAAAATAAAATACATAACTACGTAAAATTAAAAAAGGAAGACATATTTATTACTTTACCTTCAATGCAACCAGCACTGCATGGGTTTTTGATTTCAGACCAACCGTGGCTGAGCCCTGTTTGACAGCTTCCATTGCATATTCAATCTGATGAATCCTGCCCTAAAGAGAAAAAGAAAACAACACATCTTAGTCGTCTTAAAAATTTAATTTTTTATAAATTTGAGACTTTCCAAATCTCGGGTGAACACAATTTAATCTCAAATGATTCCCCCCTCCCCCAATCAGGATACATATTTGAAAAATAAAGTTCCTCCAGGAATGCTTAAAATGGTTATAATCCCTTTACCCCCACACCTACAATCTCTAATTATATGGTAGTCAATCAAAAGTCACTTCAGAAGAGAAGGAACACATGGAGGGTGCGGGATCCCGGAGGAAAAGAAAAAAGAAAAAACAGGTTCCAAAAAGAGCCGAGAGCACCGGGAAGTTCCAGATGGAGTAGGCGCCGCATCCCGCCTCCCCCAGATGGAACCCTGGTGACCAGAAGCCTCTACAAACACAGCTCGAGTATGCGGGAACAAGGACTTTTTCTCAAATCTGCCGGACTACACCTCCCAGGTAACCTCTGATCCCGGAAGTCATGCCCACAGCCCGCCCCCCAGCGCCATCTTTGAAACGTTCAGAATAAGAGAAGGAACACATGGAGGGTGCGGGATCCCGGAGGAAAAGAAAAAAGAAAAAACAGGTTCCAAAAAGAGCCGAGAGCACCGGGAAGTTCCAGATGGAGTAGGCGCCGCATCCCGCCTCCCCCAGATGGAACCCTGGTGACCAGAAGCCTCTACAAACACAGCTCGAGTATGCGGGAACAAGGACTTTTTCTCAAATCTGCCGGACTACACCTCCCAGGTAACCTCTGATCCCGGAAGTCATGCCCACAGCCCGCCCCCCAGCGCCATCTTTGAAACGTTCAGAATAAGAGAAGGAACACATGGAGGGTGCGGGATCCCGGAGGAAAAGAAAAAAGAAAAAACAGGTTCCAAAAAGAGCCGAGAGCACCGGGAAGTTCCAGATGGAGTAGGCGCCGCATCCCGCCTCCCCCAGATGGAACCCTGGTGACCAGAAGCCTCTACAAACACAGCTCGAGTATGCGGGAACGAGGACTTTTTCTCAAAACCGCGCGGCCGCTTACGCGGCCGCGCGACATCTCTCTATATACAAAGTGATCAATGAGAAGTAAACCACCCAATCTTTCTCCCTGAAAATCAGAGTTAAGTTTGGAGCATGGCCACAGCCCCAGAAACACAAGGACTTAATGCAGAAACCAGCAGCTTAGAGCAGAAAAGTGAACGGACAATGCGTTAACCCAGGCCATCATTTCTGCCCAGAGGGGAAAAGGGTGTTGCCCCATTCGCCCTCTCTTCTCTGGAAAGAAGGATGGCAGCCGCATGGGAGCCTTGTGGACAGCAGGTATGAGCCGGGGGTGTGGGGGCGACTAAAACCTCATGGGAAGGGGGGCGTTCCGGTCCGTCCTTCACGCCCTACCGAGGTCACCAGTTGCCCCCCACGAGCGGCTCTCCAGCACGGCCACAGCCCCAGAAGCACAAGGGCTTAATGCAGAACCCAGCAGCTTGGAGCAGAAAAGTGAAAGGACTATGCGTTAATCCAGGCAATCATTTCTGCCCAGAGGGGAAAGGGTGTTGCTCCCTTCCGCCCTCCTCCCTCTGGAAAGAAAGATGGCGGCCACATGGGAGCCTTGTGGACAGCAGGTATGAGCCGGGGGTGTGGGGGCGACTAAAACCTCATGGGAAGAGGGGCGTTCTGGTCCGTCCTTCACGCCCTACCGAGGTCACCAGTTGCCCCCCACCAGCGGCTCCCCAGCACGGCCACAGTCCCAGAAGCACAAGGACTTAATGCAGAACCCAGCAGCTTGGAGCAGAAAAGTGAAAGGACTATGCGTTAATCCAGGCCATCAAGTCTGCCGGAGGGGAAAGGGTGTTGCCCCATTCGCCCTCTCTTCTCTGGAAAGAAGGATGGCGGCCGCATGGGAGCCTTGTGGACAGCAGGTATGAGCCGGGGGTGTGGGGGCGACTAAAACCTCATGGGAAGGGGGGCGTTCCAGTCCGTCCTTCACGCCCTACCGAGGTCACCAGTCACCCCTCACGAGCGGCTCTCCAGCACGGCCACGGCCCCAGAAGCACAAGGACTTAATGCAGAACCCAGCAGCTTGGAGCAGAAAAGTGAACGGACTATGCGTTGATCCAGCCCATCAAGTCTGCTGGAGGGGAAAGGGTGTTGCCCCATTCGCCCTCTCCTCTCTGGAAAGAAAGATGGCGGCCACATGGGAGCCTTGTGGACAGCAGGTATGAGCCGGGAGTGTGGGGGCGACTAAAACCTCATGGGAAGGGGGGCGTTCCGGTCCGTCCTTCACGCCCTACCGAGGTCACCAGTTGCCCCCCACGAACGGCTCTCCAGCACGGCCACAGCCCCAGAAGCACAAGGGCTTAATGCAGAACCCAGCAGCTTGGAGCAGAAAAGTGAAAGGACTATGCGTTAATCCAGGCAATCATTTCTGCCCAGAGGGGAAAGGGTGTTGCTCCCTTCCGCCCTCCTCCCTCTGGAAAGAAAGATGGCGGCCACATGGGGGCCTTGTGGACAGCAGATATGAGCCGGGGGTGTGGGGGCGACTAAAACCTCATGGGAAGGGGGGCGTTCTGGTCCGTCCTTCACGCCCTACCGAGGTCACCAGTTGCCCCCCACGAGCGGCTCTCCAGCACAGCCACGGCCCCAGAAGCACAAGGACTTAATGCAGAACACAGCAGCTTGGAGCAGAAAAGTGAACGGACTCTGCATTGATCCAGGCCATCAAGTCTGCCGGAGGGGAAAGGGTGTTGCCCCATTCGCCCTCTCCTCTCTGGAAAGAAAGATGGCGGCCACATGGGAGCCTTGTGGACAGCAGGTATGAGCCGGGAGTGTGGGGGCGACTAAAACCTCATGGGAAGGGGGGCGTTTCGGTCCGCCCTTCACGCCCTACCGAGGCCACCAGTTGCCCCCACGAGCGGCTCTCCAGCACGGCCACAGCCCCAGAAGCACAATGACCTAATGCAGAACCCAGCAGCTTGGAGCAGAAAAGTGAAAGGACTATGCGTTGATCCAGGCAATCATTTCTGCCCAGAGGGGAAAGGGTGCTGCTCCCTTCCGCCCTCCTCCCTCTGGAAAGAAAGATGGCGGCCACATGGGAGCCTTGTGGACAGCAGGTATGAGCCGGGGGTGTGGGGGCGACTAAAACCTCATGGGAAGGGGGGCGTTCTGGTCCGTCCTTCACGCCCTACCGAGGTCACCAGTTGCCCCCCGCGAGCGGCTCTCCAGCACGGCCACGGCCCCAGAAGCACAAGGACTTAATGCAGAACCCAGCAGCTTGGAGCAGAAAAGTGAACGGACTCTGCATTGATCCAGGCCATCAAGTCTGCCGGAGGGGAAAGGGTGTTGCCCCATTCGCCCTCTCCTCTTTGGAAAGAAAGATGGCGGCCACATGGGAGCCTTGTGGACAGCAGGTATGAGCCGGGAGTGTGGGGGCGACTAAAACCTCATGGGAAGGGGGGCGTTTCGGTCCGCCCTTCACGCCCTACCGAGGCCACCGGTTGCCCCCCGCGAGCGGCTCTCCAGCACGGCCAGGACTCCAGAACACAGAAACCAATTTCTTAACTATCTGACTTTCAGTAGAAATACTTCCAGGGTCAATAGGTAAAAGAGCAGAAATCCAAAACCAACATTTAATTCTTGAACCCAGCCATAGAAAGCAAATCACTTCACAATGCTTTTTCAGCATGTCTGATTTGGGGGGGGGGGGGGTAAACTCTAATAGTGGTGAATATTTTATTGAAACAATGAATCTAATCAAAGCAGATAGAGTGTTAACTAGAATTCATCTGCTTCACAGGGACGGGGAGGGGTGGGGGGTGGGGTTTTATTGGGGTTCTTCATGGTAAAAAATAAGTATTGGTAAAGGGAAATGTGTTTGATATTTGCATGACTGAGACATAAACCTGAAAGCTTTGTAACCTTTCCCACAGTGATTCAATAAATAAATTAAAAAAAAAAAAAAAAAAAAAAAAAAGTCACTTCAAGGTAATAGCATGAAACATTTTACCTGTGGGCTCCAAACAGTGACATCATTGTCATACTGATTGCGAAACTGAAAGTAAAAGAACAAAAGGACAATAGTGTAAGAAAGTTACAAGTCCCAAATCCTGCTAGTCTCTCATCAGTTACAAAAGGTCTCCCAAGTATGTATTTCCATTCAGCATGAAGGCAACAGAGGTAATGCCACAAAACCGTCTCTATTACCAAGAGCCGGCAGAGGACTGAGGCAAGTGGATTTTGAAGGGACTTAACTCCCAACACCACCACTGTCCACTAGGCCTGCCTTTGGGCTCAGCCAGCTACTAAAAAGTATCCAAGTTAACTTTCCTGTTTTAGCAAAGCTCTTTCCTTCTAAAGGTTCCTAGCAAATGGTCAAAAGCTAACCCTGTCCTTTCACTACCTTAAATGTCTCTGAGAAACAACTTTCCTCACCCAATCTTTTCAATACACACCCCTTTTAGACTTTCTAAGTGGGGACAACTCAGACGTATCTTTGAAGTCTCCCTCCCAATGGAAACAGGGCTTTGTAGGCAGGGTTCTGTGGGATGAATCGACACAAGAGTGAGTGAGAGGTGGACAGAGATTAGTTTATTAGTCGTGACGCCGGTGCTGGAATGAGTCTACCACCAAGTGTCTGTGAGAAAGAGCATGGGTGTATGGGGTGTGTGTGTGTGTGTGTGTGTGTGTGTGTGTGTGTGGAGGATGCAGCAGTGGCAGGCGTGGGGCGAGGATTCTACCACCAAGTGTCTGTGAGAAAGAGCATGGGTGTGTGGTGTGTGTGTGTGTGCGCGTGCGGAGGGGGGGGGGGGGGTGCAGCAGTGCCAGGCGTGGGGCGAGGAGCCTTCCTCTCGCGATTTCCTCAGGTGTAATATAATATCGTGACGTGACAAAATGATTGTAAAGGCCCTCGAGGGAAGCGGTGGATCGGGGCCACCAGGAAATGGATGCGGCCCAGAACCCGAAACCCGGGGTTAAAGTTCACGGGGAGAACTCCAGCCGGGACCCCTAGACTCTTCGCGCGCTTGCTCTCTCGTTCTCATACTTTCTTTCTCTCTTTCACTCACTCTCTCTCTCTCTCTCTCTCTCACACACACACACACACACACACACACACTTTCTCTTTCTCTCACACACTCTCTTTCTCTCTCTCTCTCGACAAAAGGCCACTTTCGAGCAGCACCAGGAATTCACTGCACTCGAGGGATGACCGGCGGTCAGCGCGTCCGAGTCCGCGCGGGGAGAGAAAAAGGAGGCGCGGGGAAAGGCCGCACGGAGCTACCGGCCGCCCCCTCTCCCCGCCAGGCCAGAGATGCTGAATCACGGCCCGAACCCTCCCTCCCGCCGCCTCAGCTTTCCACGGCCGGGGCCTCGGGCTGCCCGTGAGGACGGCAGGATAGGCAGGCTGGCCATCTCCCCCGGGCCGCGCGGACCCCGGCCCCAACCCTGCCCGGGATTCCGGAACCAACGCACCATGACTTCGGCGCGGGTCAGTCCACGGCCTCCACGAGAGCGGGCGATCCACGGCGAGCGGACGGAACTCACGATCGGCGATCTGCAGGGCAGCCTGAGGGCGTTTGACGGCGGCGGCGCAGGCCTGAGCAGTCGAGCCCCGGTGACTCGAGCGCTCGGCGCGCCGCGGGTGGGTGGGGCCTCGGACAGAGGAACCGACTTTGGCGGGAAACGCCGGGCGGGGCGGGGCCGCGGCCGCCGAGTCGCCGGGGGCTCCCTGCCGAGGCGCCGCCCTCCTCTTGGATGCAGCGCAGCTTCCTCACCAGACTTTTTTATTTTTTTATTTTTTTACGCGCTTGAGATCCCTGGAGTGTACAAGTACAACTCCGAGCCATCTAGTGAGCCTGTCCGTGTCTGTCAGCGTCCAGAGATTTGGGGTTGCTCAGTGTCCGTGAGAACGACCGTAAAAAAAAATAATAGTCCGTTTCTGGGTGTCAATCATACTGTTTTGGGGGGAGTATTTCACTTTTTATGTCTTTTCCGGGTGCGGCCTGCGAGTCCCGGCGCTCCCCCCACCCCCCGCCGCGCTGGGCATGCGCGTTACCATGGACACCGAGCCCCTCCCTGTCGCTGCGTCTTTGAGCGCTTGCCTTTGTTTCTAGTGGGACGCTTCCCCCCCCACCCCCACTCCTTCCAAGAACCTGTGTTCCACGTGTGATTCGTCACGGTTTTTATTATTGGTGGCACCCCTCAGACTGAGCTCCTGCAGGCCACTGATGCTTTTTTGTGCCTTCAAAACCGGACTCAGTGCCACAGAGAAGAGGTCACTGATCCCTGCCAAAAGAAAAAGCGGGCGTTTTCTTCCATAATCTCTCTTTTGAGAGAATATTTTGGTATATCCTCAATAAAATAGTTTAGCAAACAGCTGCCAGCCTTACGTCTGTAGACTACCAATGATTTCCTTTCTTTGTGAAGATTATCCTTGGAAGGGCATTTCAGGATTTAAGCCTTGTAGATGAATAAGACTCATATATCTCTTTAGTGATTTGCTCAGATTCAGAGAAAGTTGCTATCACACGTTTTAAAATCATCTGCAGGTGTATATTTTGAACATTTTTCCCATGTTATTTTCCAGGTTAATCCTTACGCCTTAGTATTCTTTTTGTTTGTTTTGGGGCCTTGCCTGGGGATGCTCAGGGGTTATTCCTGACTCTGCTCTCAGAAATTACTCCTGGTGCTGCTGAGGGAACCATAAGGGATGCCGAGTCAGCAGCTTGCAAGCAAGACCCTCAGCCGGCTGTACTGTTAATCCGGCCCCACTCCTTAGTATTTTACATTATGAACATGTGCTATTTTTACCTAAGTTCGCTGTTTGATATTTATGTTCACTTCCTTGGCCCCCAGCAACTTATTTGTGAGCTGTTTGAAATGTTGTGTGTGTGTGTGTGTGTGTGTGTGTGTGTGTGTGTGTGTGTGTATGTACATCTGCTGCATTTTTTGGAATAAATTCCTAATAATGGAATTGAAGAATCAATGAAATGGGTATTTGTAAAGCTTTTGATAAAAATACTAAGTTTCCCTCCAGGAATGTTTTACCAGTTTATACTGTTCACAGTGGTAAATGAGAGGGAATGCTTCCCTACATATGTGGTGGTCATCATTTAAAGAAACATCAAACTTAATTTAGTGAATTAAATGAGCTGATTTAAATGTACAGATTGTTATCTTGTTTCTCTACCACCTAGAACAATACCCACCACATACTAAGTACTAAATATTGACTAAATAATGAATGTCGATTGATTAAATGTTCACTTAAAATTACTAGTTAAAATGTTTTGGTACAGTGCCCATTTCCTGCCACCACGGATTGCAGTATCCCTCCCCCCTCCTATCCCACATCCCCCCCCAATCCTACCCTGCCTCTGTGGCAGGGCATTAGGGATGGGTATGTGATCATTGTATTATTGAAACCCAAGCACAAAAATTTGTAAGTCTACAACTGTACCTCATAGTGTCTCACTAATAAAAATTTAAAAATTAAAAATAAATAAAATGTTTTGGTACATAGTATTGTGTATCCACATGGCTCACACATAATTGTAATAAAAGTCATACTAAACTATTTTATAATATACTTAATGTGTTATTACCAGCTTTTCATATGCAAAAATAAGATCTTTATGATTTCAATAGTTGCATAGTATTCCACTATGAAAATACAACCATTTTCTTAACTCTGAGTCACTCTCACTGTCACTGTCCTCCCGTTGTTCATCGATTTGCTCGAGCGGGCCCAGTAACGTCTCCATTGGAGACTTTGTTGTTACTGTGTTTGGCATATCGAATATGTCACGGGTAGCTTGCCAGGCCCTGCCCTGCGGGCGAGAGACTCTCGGTAGCTTGCCGGGCTCTCCAAGAGGGGCGGAGGAATCGAACTCAGGCTCTTTGGTATTATAAAAATACTATAATGTTTTCTTATACATTTTGAATACTCTTTTGATTATTTCCCTATGATGAATACATAGTAATAAAATTACTGGATTTTATTTTATTTATTTATTTATTTATTTATTTGCTTTTTGGCTCACACCCGGCAGTGCACAGGAGTTACTCCTGGTTCATGCACTCAGGAATTATTCCTGGGGGTGCTCGGGGGACCATATGGGATGCTGGGAATCGAACCTAGGTTGGCTGCGTGCAAGGCAAACGCGCTACCCGCTGTGCTATTGGTCCAGCCCTGGATTTTATTTTAAAGGAACACAAATTTACAATATAAGTGTGGCATACTGTAAAAAGAAGTTATGTCAATTCATATACTACAATGTCCTTACAATTTTCTTTGTTTTTACCTTTACCATCTCTGGATAAGATGAGTATTCTTTACCTTATCTGTCAAACAGGCAGAAAAAGAAAAAACTTTTTTGCTTTAGTTCTGTTTGTGAATTGCCACTTCACTCAGTTTCAATTTTCTCAATTTATGTTCATTATTTTCTCTCTGAGTTGTAGGAGTTTTCAGTCATTAGGGAAGTTGACAAGTTATTATGATGCTATTTTTATAGCAGGAATCTGTTGAGTACAAAGATAAATACAGAGAAACTAACTCAGTCGAAAGGTAGGGTGTAGGAGATATTATAAAAGAGTAATAGGGAGAGGGCTGGAGTGATAGCATAGTGGGCAGGGCGTTGCCTTGCACGCGGCCAACCCGGGCTCGATTCCCAGCATCCCATATGGTCCCCCGAGCACCGCCAGGAGTAATACCAGGTGCATGAACCAGGAGTAACCCCTGTGCATCGCCGGGTGTGACCCAAGAAGCAAAAAATAAAATAAAAAAGAAATTACTGGGGGCTGGAGAGATAGCATAGCAGGTAGGGCATTTGCCTTGCATATGGCCGACCCGGGTTCGATTGCCAGCATCCCATATAGTCCCCTGAGCACTGCCAGGAGTAACTTCTGAGTACAGAGCCAGGAGTAACCCCTGTGCATCGCCAGGTGTGACCCAAAAAGCAAAATAGAAAAAAATTGCTCATATCGGAGGAAAAATTAAAAAAAAAAGTAATAGGGAGTTACATAAACACCCTATGTTACATAAAGAATATAATTTTTGGTTTGTTTTGGGGGCTATACCCAGTAGTGTGTGTGTGCATTTGTGTGTCTGTGTGTGTTAGTATATATACATATATATATATATATATATATATATATATATATAGCACAGCGGTTAGGGCGTTCGCCTTACAAGCGGCCAGCATGGCCGACCCGAGTTCGATTCCTCCGCCCCTCTCGGAGAGCCCGGCAAGCTACTGAGAGTATTCAATATGCCAGACACAGTAACAACAAAGTCTCCAATGGAGACGTTACTGGGCCCGCTCAAGCAAATCGACGATCAACGGGAGGGCCTTTACCTTTACCATATATATATATATATATATATATATATATATATATATTCTGGCTCTGTTCTCAGGCATCACTCCTGACAAGGTTTGGGGGACCATATGTGGTGCCTAGGATTGAAGTCCCTTACCCACTCTGCTATTGCTCTGACTCAAGAATGGAATTTTTTTATATTTTAATTACTTGGATATTCCTAGTTATCCCGAACAAAAACTACATCATAACAGGCACTAACTAAATATTACTTGAATAAATTAATAGTCTCTTGCTCCAAAATCTGTCTTTTTGATAGATATTTCCTAAAAAAAATAACTAGGGCTTTGTGAAACGCCCTTCATTAGCAGTGATTGCCAGGACTTTTCAGAATGGGTCGTATCAAAACCCAATTTATAAGTTCAGAAGGAGTATGTGGTTGGTCACTGTGTGAAAACTAAAGATCCTAAGTAGCTACCAACATCTTCATAAGAGTTTCAGCTCCTGGGGCTAGAGAGAGTATGTCCTACATGTGACCTACATTATGTGACCTTGGTTCAATCCCAGCACTCCTGACTAGGAGTGACTCCTGAGCACAGAGTCAGGAGTAGCTGAACAATGCCTGAACACTGACCAGCAAGTACCACTCCATCTTCTTCCCTCCCCCCACAATCTGCCCCTCCCAAAAAAAAGTTCAGCTCCTCTGTGGATATTTTGAGGATTTGATGCATCTTTGTCCTTAACCAGGGTATGAAATTTGATCAGTAAAGATTTTATGTAGGAAGACAGGATCTGTAAATGTAGCCAACCTTTAAAGGTTACTGGGGGTTTGGGAGGTAGTTTCGTGGTTAGGGTACATATTTACCTAGCTTGTCCTGGCACTACATGGCCCCCAGGACATCACTGAGTACAGCCCTGGAAGTCTCTTGAGTACTGCAGGTATGTCTACAGGCCTTCCAAGCACCAATGGGTGGTCCAAGTATCCCCAATACTCCAGGGGCTGAGTAGCACTGTAGCCTCAGGCTCTTGCATTGAACTGGCTGGCCAAGAATTACCAGTGAGGGCCCATGACTTGACCACTAAGTGGAAGCTCTCTCCACAAAATTAAAATAATAAAGGTTGTCAGGCTTTTTAAAGAATCAAATTATAAGTAATTCTAAATGGGAACAAGGAAGATAGCTCCAGTGGTAGGACTCGCACCTCGCATGTGTGAGATCACATGTTCAATGTCCACCACAGGATGCGGCATCAATTAACACATTAATAAATTCAAAATAAAAGCCAACTTGAAAAATTTACCCCGGGAGTATGTAAATTTAATGGTATGCCTTTTTCA